ACTTTGCACTGTTAATGTAAGCATTTCCATGCAGAAGTTTCAGCAGCTTAACAACGTATTTCATAAAAGCTGGTGTAACTCCTGTGCAAAAACACAATCCATCCTCATCTTGTAAACCTTACAGCTCTGGAGTCACAACACGACCACTCACTGCTATCAGCACCAGACCCTGCCTCCCCATCACAGCCATGACTTCTCTCAAGAACAATGCAGAACCCAAACTATTCCGCCGCAGCTTACACCAATTTGGAAACAGCCACTGCTCTGCACATTGTTGTGGACTGTAACAATTACAAGTGGTGCTACAGGCCCAGAAGTTTTAATTCAAGCCAAGCCATTAGCTAGCACTTCAAGTTACACACAATTATTGCCAGAAATGCAGGGTTGCCATTGGAGAAAAAGTTTAGGGCCTGTTTGAGTTAAAATTACTTGAAATGGGACCTAAGTAGTGCTGCTGGCATCCCACAGACCCACACAACCCAAGGAGCCCCAGCACTCTGAGGCAGTAGCCACGTGCCTGCTGTTTCACCCCAGCCCTTCTGCTCATGGTACAGGAGAATTGCTGCTGCCTGACGATGCTGCTCTTGCAGACAGGGAAAAGAGGCAGTTTCTCTGATAGTCTCGTCCTAAGCCACTGAAAATGTAAATATGTTAAGAAACAGACACTGCTGTATGTGTTTCCAGGCCAACTGCAGCATCACTTATCAAGGAGATACCACTGGGACACTAGTAGTGTTTCCTGAACAGAATGAATATGACACACAGCACAAAAAGAGATTAAAGAGGAAAAAAGGAAAAGAGGACTGAGCAAGCAAGCAGAGATGCCATTTGAGTCAGGCAGAGGGGTGGGCAGCACTTTTTTACTTCCCCTACTAAACACGTCCAGTTGTCCATCTAGACCCCATCTTCCACCCCATGGATGCTGACAGTGCTTGAATGAGACACCTCTGGGTCAGATGCACCCACCCTTGCTGTGCCCTGGCAGCCAACCCAAGCTCCATGCCACCAGACTGAGACCAACGCTTTCCTTCCTGTTGTTACATACAGGCACAACATTAATGAGCAGCCTCTTCCAAGCAAATGCTCTCCCCTGAAGCTCCAGTGGCTCAGTTCACAGACGCATGTGCTGATTCTTCAGCTCAAGGCAGTGTTGGTAAGACAGCAATGCAAACCTGGAACAGTCTGAAAGCAGACTGCTCTGCACCAACCGCTGCAACTGCACATCTCCAGTCTGCCACTCATTCAGCACAATTAACTCCAACTCCTTCACCGCATCGTTTTGAGTTAGAAGCATGCAATTTAATATTTAATTGGTAATGCAGCAGCAAGCCTCAAAATTAAGTCTGCCAGCTAAATTTCAGCTCCTTCCTGATGCAGGCTAAACCTGTGACTGTCAGCCTGCTGATGTAACACAGGCAGCACAGATCCCACACCTGCCCTGAACCAGGCTCCGCTGCTCCTCTCTCTTGCAATGCAGCATTACTCACTGAGGTTTGGGACAAGTCTCTGACTAGAGCTGTTGCATCCCACTACACCCTTCCTCAGCTGCTGCTCCTCTTGCTCAGCACCCTGTTACAAAGAACAGGCTGTGTCCTGGGGATAGCTGCTCCCACGTGTGCCCAGCATGGCTGCGGGGACTTCTCGATGGCATGTGGCCTTTTCACTTGAATCACCAACACCTGGGAGAGCTGTGAGCTTGGTCAGCTCAGCACTGTGGAAGCAAACACTAAGATCTTGCAGCCAGCTTCCCTTAAAAAAAATAATAATGAAGGAAGTGTAAATCAAAGCTTCCACATGCAAATTTCTGTGTCAGTGCCTATGATGCCCCCTTTCCTCAGCCCATCAACATCTGTCAATGGGAGACTTCACCTGCCACCACCCGTCCTCCAGGTTTCATCTTTAACACACAGGTCAAACAAACAAAGCAATGGGCAGAACCAACCCCAACTTCCAGAGGAAAGCAGAGCTGCTTCCCCATAACACTGCCCGGTCTGCTCCATTTTCAACCTGGAAAGCAAAGCCAACATTTGTGAGTGCAGCTCCCCAAAGCCCTGGGAGCACAGGTTTTTGGGAGCGGACGGGGAAACCCTTCTGATGCAAAGCTGAAGAGATGACAGAAGGGACCTATGGCAGGCAGCAGACACAGCAGTGATGGGACGGTTTGGCAACACGCGCCAAGTTTCCCAATTTTTAAAACACGTCTGTTTTATGGGAGTGCTTGAAAACCAGGCTGCAGGGCAGTTCTGAGGCACGGGTTTAATTTCTGCTCCTCGTATCTGAAAAACCCAGTCCCGGTGTGTCAGAAGAAGGTTAATGAAAGATTTAGCTGTGCTCACAACCACGTTAGTGTCGGTTTCGGAAGCTGCGAGTTAATGCCTGAGATCTTCGGGGGTTGCCCTCTTTGAAGTTCACTGATCCATAACCAATGTCCAATTAATTTGCAGCAGCCTAACTATAATGACTACTGGCCTTTTCCTACGTGTACAAAAACGCAGTGGGTAACAGCAGTGCTTTTTGCTTTGGGATATTCTCACATACGCGCACACAACGCCTTGTCTTCTGCGCTTGGAGCAGTTCTATGCTCGTGGGCACAGAAATACGGCGGTAAGACTGAAGAACCTTCTGCTGCAAAAAGATCTGGAGCCAATTCTCGACGCTCCCTTGCTAACAGGGACACACTCCTATTGCATTTGGTCAGATTCCTCTTTATTTAGAGTTTCCATAGAAGCCAAGGAATAGACGTTAAATCTTGTGAAGATTAAACAGGCCTTCAGATATAATGCAAAACAGCTTATTGCAACATTCCCTCAAGAACAGAGACGACAGATTCTCCCACAAAAAATAAGTCTGTAGAAATGTTCAAACCAAATCAGGACAGGCTCAGCCTCCCAGCCACTGCACACAGCACTCCCAACCTGCTGCACGCAGCTCCACCAGCTTCCAAGGCTCTTCCTAACAGGAGAAAGCAGGAATGTTTGCACGACAAGATGCCACTGCTTGAAAAACAGTCTGTTTGAGGCAGCTATTTCTATGCAGCGTTCAGGAAGCAAGCTATTTCAACCACAAGGACTTGCACAGAGACGGATCTCAGCAGAGTGTTAGAACCAAACGCACAGATCACACAACTGAGCAGTGCCCATCTTCCATGGAGATGCTCCAGACACTGCTGCACTTGACAGACCAGCACTTAAAATAAATAATCACTCATTTTCAGTTACTCCAGGCTCCAAAATGACTCCTGCTCTGGTGAGAACAGTAAACGCGTCCCTGCCTCCCGACCCAGCAGGTCAATGGAGCGTCTGCAGCCACAATGACAGGCTGTCAGACACAACAAATTAACAGCAGCAAGTTTCTCCTGACCTCCATCCCCTAGGTAAAGATTTATTTTGCGCTGTTCCAATCTAGTAAGAAAATGCATGAGGTTGAGGAATGCCACCCCAAAATATTTCTATTCCATCATGTACTTCTGAACTGTTTTAAAGGTTGGCATGGATGTATTCAGGTACAGCATAAACTGTGCATTTTATCTGAAGCAGGACCTGAAGAATGCAGTATTTGTGCAGGTTTTCACTACCTGCTCTAGAACAGAAACTAAACTCGAGCAAGTTACTGCCAGTCTTAAGCCATTCCTGCTAAAATAAAAAGATACTTGAATTGTGGACTTTTCTAATCCTATCCAGTCAGTATCCAGCACTCGGTGCAAACTCATAGCAAGAAACACCCAAGGTTTTTATAAACACCATGAGAAAGTCCCAGGATCCTGGGATTCTGTTCTTCAGACTCCTGATTAAAACACCACGAGCTCACACCAATTCCCATTTTTTTTTCTGAGCTTCACATGCAACACCCCCTCCTCAAAATCTGTTTGAAAACAGAAATAAAAACATTTCACCATCTGAAAGGCACTGAGATCTTGTGCAGGGCAGGATGCACGTCCAGCTGCCAGCATAAAGGGACAGCGTGGGGAGAGGAAGCACAGAAATGCTGCTTTGAAGAGGACAGTTTGGCTACTTCGTCTCGTAACCATCGCAAAGCGACAGATCTCAGCCTAAGCTGGTCTTAAAACAAGGAGATTTTATTTTAAAGAAGTAGGAATGTGCGTCTGGCTGCGTTCTGTTGATTCAGCAAGGGTTACACACACACACACACACACACACACACACACACACACGCTTATTGATCCCAGAGAACTCCCTGCTAAGTTAATTGTCTGGAATTTTAACTGAGCTCTCAGCAAGTTTCCAAACGCGTGTTGGCTGGGAATGGGTGGGGGACCCAAAGAAAAGCAGGGCTGAACAACTGGGCAACTCCTCTAGAGAAAGAAAACAGATACTGTGATGAGGGGAAAAGCTGCAACATGGAACAATTTTAACTGGGCTTGGGGATTCCTACTTGCTGGAATCCACTATCAGAAAACCTGACTGCAAAGCAATACCACTTACAGGGAGCATCACGAACCCCATTTGACCCATACACACATGACAGACATCAGGGTATTTCCCGCAAGCTTCCTGCAGCCTCTAGTTGTGGCTCATCACCATTTCCTTGTATATTTACAAGGGGTTTTACCACAAGCTGCACTCATCTGCACTCCTGTAACTGAACACTGACCTTCCGTCACTGCAGGCTACAAGCCAGCCTGACACCGCAGCTCTGCTCGCTCTGTGCATACTGGGGCTGCCCACAGCTCTGCACTGCCTGCTGCCTCCTACCTACAGCCCGACCACGTCCAGCAGCATTTCCTCACAGCAAAGAACATCCTGCAGATGTGATTCAGGGGAACCGGCCAAAGACACCCTACAAATAACTCGCAGTACATTCAGATAAAGCTGCGTTTCAACCTGACACCCATGTGACACTGTCCCACTCTGATGCTCAACCAGCCCCAACCGCTCCAAGCTGCAAAACAACCTCTGCTTCCCAGCAATTCCAACCTCACAGCAGCCCCCAGGGGCATCTGGAGGCCCCCAAGGAAGGGCCCAGCTGGCGCACTCACGTACCTGAACTCCCTGCCCTCACTGTACCGCCGGGTGGAGGTTGCACGCTGGGTTGCAGTCTCCAAAAGCAGCTTCTGGGTGAGCCTGCTTGAGGGCGCAGAGTCCCTGCTGGCCTCAGGCTCAGTGTCTTGGTCACATTTCCACTCCTCGTCCTCATTCAGAGTAGGCAGATAACCAGGTAGCCCTTTTCCTGTCCCAGACCCTGAGCTCGGATCGCTATAAATTTTCGGACTTTCCCCACCTGTCCTTGTGTATTCCAAATAAATATCCGACTTAAGGAACAAAGGGTAGGTATTGTCTTCTATCATGCATTGAATCTCAGTTTGGGCCTGGTCAAACATGTCAGGGTCAATCTGCAGTTTCATGACACAGTCCTTTATGAAGCTTTTTGTGGCCGGTTTGATCTGCCGGGACACAATGCCGTTGTTGTCCAGAATGTACTTTTTGTAAATGGCTTTTGCCAGTTTGAGTCTTTTTTCCTCATTGGACACACATGGCTCCAGCTTCCTGAAGCCACTGCAGGCAAACCAGAAGTCCAGCAGATCCGCACAGTCCTCCTGTTTCAGGAACGTCCTGAAGAGATTGATACCATCCTGATCATCGAGCAAGGAGTGCAGCGACTCGGCCCACTTCAGGTAGGGTGGAGTTGGCGAAGCACTCCCCTCAGGTTCATAGCCCAAATCCAGATCGGAGCGCCTCGGCGTTGCGGTGGAGGTCTCATTTCTAACCACATCGCTTTTACTGGAGTAGAAACCGTGGCTGACTGGCCTTGGATCTGTGGACACGAGCTCACCCTCCTCACCAGGCACCGGTGGCCTTGGAGCATCTTCAGTGAAGCTTCCTCCGAGGTCCAGAGGGAAGCCCTTCCCCTGGATATTCATCTTCCTGGCGCTTCCTTGAACAGCGGGGGAAGAGCTGAAATCTCAGATCACCAACACCCGTATCTCCAAGGAGAACACGTTGGTTCTGCTGAAACAGATAAGAAAGAAATCCATTAAGTATCACTGTAAATAAACGTTCTAAGACTACAAGCTACTAATGTTGTCCTCCCCGATTACTGTATTAAATCCTCTTTTTCTGAAAACGACAGAGAAGATCTCAAAACTTCATATCCAGCATTCAGCACAACCAATACCGCCGGCACCAATCTCACAGCCCCCAAGCCCACACTACGGGAGCTCTCAGGACTGTGGGATGTGGTATTCCCCATACCCAAGGGATGTACACTCAGGTGCTGAGTGCTGAACAGCCCACAGGACGCACCTTCACTTCTACAGTCTGACATTAAGCTCTGTGCTGAGCCCACCTGGCCAGCACACACGCCAAGTCATATCACGGCAGTACGTTTCCATCTGGCTACCAACCTAGGAAACTCTCACAATCAACAAGGAATTCACGTTAAGGTTTGTGAAAAATATTCTAGGAGAACATTCTGTTGGTAGCAAAACTGAGATTACATCTTAACCAAGCACAGGTGTCCTCTGTACACTCAGTGACATACCGGCGTGACATTCCCCTCTGCTTTCAGAAATACACTGCATCAGCTCATCTAGCTCCAGGCAACTCCAAATGCATCACTGACCCCAATACTTTGGGCACGTGAACAACATTCTTGCCTCAAACGGGCATGTCAGGTCAGGGCTTTGGCTCTGGCACCATTCCTCATAGAGGCCATTGAGAAAAAAGGTTCATTGGAGCTAACAACACAGCATGCCGAATGCCCAAGAAATCCTACCCAGGTCAATAAAGGAAGATGAGAAGATCGTCTCTAGAAGGAGATGTGATCAAACGCAATGTTTTAAAAGAAGGTAGTGAGCCAACATGGAGGATGGGAGGTGTGGGGAGGAAGGGGGAAGCACCAGACAATTCCAGGGCTGCCACTTGCTCTGCTAACGCAGTAACCATCATTTCAAAGCAGCAGAAGTTGTGTTTTACTGAATGCCGCCGGCCCCAAGGCCCCGAGTACCGTGAAGCAGCAGCTGCCTGACACCCTGCTCCTCGCGCCGGGTTAAATCAACTGCACGTGAGAACACAGCGGGGACACGCGTTTCAGCTTTGCTCACCGCACCCAAATGAACGCATCCTTTGGACGTTCTGCCTTTTTTCCCCTTTTCCTCTCCTCAGCTGAGGCGAAAGCCGTCCTTACAGCCCACCTGTACGCCTCCGACCAGCAGCAGCGAGATGGGAGCCGCTCGGCCCTACGTGCTGCACCCGCTCAGCCCTAAGAGCGAGCCCGCTGTCACCCACAGCCGGCCGGGCCGCTCGGAACACGCGGGCACCGCGCTGATTTACCACGGTTCCACCGAACGCGCCCGTATCCCTCAGCGCGATGCTCGCCGCCGCGGGCTCCCGCCTTCCCGACCCGGACCCCGAGCTGGCGCTGCCCGCAGCAAGGGGCCGGAGCCGCCCCGCGGGAGCGGGCACACGAGGCTCGCCGCTCATTGTGGCGGCGAGGTCCGACCCCCGGCGCCGGCACGGGGCACCTCAGCGGCCCGGG